AGAAAGCTGGATGGTGAAATTTTGGGGACATATTTTCACCCCATGTGTCACCCTCCCATTTTAAAATCATCGCTGTTATGCACCTAGATCTCGCATACAGATCCCGAAGAGAAAATATAGATTTCTGCGAGGAATGATTTAGGGAACCAGACAGGATAGAAAGCTGAAAATTTGCAGGGGTCTTCTACATTTCGGTGTGGTCTTATTCATCTTGGAGGTGAAATTCCTTGCAAACGGACACGAAAAATACTCAGTTTCATTGAAAACTCAAAAGCGGGTGCATTTTGCGGAACCGTAATCCTCTGCTGACATCCTGTACATTATCAAATCCGCACTTTTCGAAGAACATTCGCTCCGGAAGAACAACCGGGCTTCATGCACAAATTGACGATTATACATGCTGGAGATGCAAGGGGCGCTATGATACAACACTGCCACTTCAACCGACGTCTCATTTCCTCCTTTATATATGAAAAGGCCAAAACACATTCAGCACGAGTTCGCATGCTAGGCCATCACACAGGAAGTATTCCTGTCGTTAACGGTCTGACTGCTGCAAGTTTAGCGCAAAAACGCAAGATCGCACGGCAACGCTGGTGCGTCACAGCCTCGGTGAATGGTAGTTGCGAAGGGGAAAAGACTGCATCAATCCTTCTCTGAGTATGAATGCTGCAAAAAATCAGATATGTTCGTGCTGGATTTAACGCTGATAAAGACCAAAATAGGAGCTCTGGCTTAGACAAGAACATACCGACAATTTTTTATACTAGTGATTATATTATCATTTTACTGCAGCACGAATGAGAAACAGTACTTGGGGAAACAGGGTTGTATTGAATGGTACCCACGCACTTTTAAAAGAAACAGCTCGGTAAGAAAGATTTACCAGAATGGCCATTGGAATTATGTGGACGAAAGAAGTGCAAAACGTGGAGGAATGGACAGTTGCCAACTGCATTAGTGGCGAGACGAAATGCTGCGACGAAACAACAGCAAATAAAAGTATCGGAATATTATTTTATTACATCTTTTACATATTTCTGTTTTTAATAACTGGCAGTTTTACTATCTAGAAATTATTAAAAACGCTCTGTACCGGAGTTTTTTGCGTTTATGTGCTCTAAAATCCGCTCTCCGTGATTGAGAAAACAAACGAGTCTAGCTGAGGCACTGGGAAAATAGCAGCCAAACGCTCTCGAACCTTGCCAGCACGATCGTACAGTTCGCCAAGTAATCGGGGCCCAAATTCTCAGTCAAGCTCGTGTGCGCTAGTCTTCTAATCTCTGTATTCGCTGATATCATTTCTGGATCATATTGTTGCGGTTCCCTTGCGACCTCAGGCAATACTACTGATGCCGATGCTTCATGCTGTTTCGCACGAGCTTCTATCGCATGCACTTCTGATAAAGTACTAGCAAGCGGATCTCGCGGTCGCTCCAATGCACGGCGGTCCTTTCGCGCTGCTTGTTCCCGACACTCTTGCTGTTCCAGAGTTGCTAATGCTTCAGGTGTAGGCGAAGGGACTGCTGTTGAGTATGTGGTAGACTGCACGGAAGATTCGGCGGACGTGTCGGACCGGATCGTTATTGCCACTTGTTCCGGACGACGAGGAGGCTTTGGCGGCGGAATAAGCACTGGCGGCCGAAGTGTGGCTGGACTTTTCGATGCCGTGGCTCTTGCGCTGGCACCGCTGACGTTGGAGCTTGCCAGGGACTGACCTTCGGACTCGGACTCGAACGATACTGAAATGAATTCGGGGCGACGAGGGGGCTTCGGCGGCGGCGGTCTGAATGCACTGGGCGTTGCTACGTGTCCCGCTGTGTCGGACACCGCTGTGAGCCGTTGTTTCGCTTGATGAGCCGTCGCCTCGGCCACGTCCGGTACCAGTAGTCCCTCCTCAGCCGCAACCTCGGCTACAGTACCAATGAGCTCTACACGGGCATCCACTCTCTTTCGCCATTCCTCGGGATGCAGATAAGTCGCCTGAGGTCGTCGGACGTCTGCTCCTGCTGCTGCAGGCGGAAGTCGCTCGCATATAATCGGGAGTTCTTGAGGTGCGTCACTCTGGGAGACACGACTGATTCTATCCGCAGGCGAAGTGATCTCCGAGGTGCGGCTTCTCGCACTGAACCCACTGTCTGCACTGGACCTCTGACTGGATCGGGCAGCGGTTGCTGCTCCTGCTGCGGCCTGAGGTCCAGCGCTGCTCCCGGTCGCTTTGCCCGCGCTCGGCGGGCTTAAACAGGACGAAAGTCGAGGTGTCCCAGAAGTAGCAGTTCTTGGACTGGCGCGAACTCCAGAAGAAACTGGGATTCTGCTGGTGGACGGTGGCGTACGGGTTGCCTGAATTCGAGGCTGAGAGTCCGCTTTGACTGGTGCTGCTTGGGGCCGATGCTGAGCCGCTGGTTGAAGCTGAGGTTCAGTCTGTGTTGCAGCTTGGGATCGCTGTGGAGTAAATTCAGATCGTTGTGCAGCTGATTCTAAGCATTCTATGCAAGTTTCAAGCATATTCAGAGCTGTGGTCAGTTGTTCGAACAAAGCATCCACCAGCTGTTGTTCCGGAGCCTCAGACTGCTGCTGAGATTCAGCTGCACCCGCAATTTGAGGCTGACCTGAGGATAAGTCGTGGACTTGGGACTGAGCCACATCTTCACGCTGAGACTGTCTTGGGTGTGGCTGGGGTTGAGCAGTAGCTGGAAGTTGAGGCTGACCTGGTGTCAAAGGCTGGGGCTGAAGCCGAGCAGCAGCAGGAGACTGAGGCCGACCTGAAACCGAAGGTTGTGGCTGAGGTTGGGCAGTGGCTGGATACTGAGGCTGATTTGGGGCCAAAGATTGAGGGCGAGGATGGGCGACAGTTGCAAATTGATGAGCCAAAGGTTGTATCTGAGGCTGAGCTGTTGCTGCAGATTGGGACTGAATTGCTGCTTGAGCTGCAGCCGAGGCGGGGGCTCGGGGTGAGGGGTCTCTTCCGCCCGGACGTCTGCTCCGTACGCGCAGTTCGCTTGACGGTTGACTTCCGGCTTGCTGACCTGTTGTTCCGGAGGCGATAGAGCGAGCGCCTTGTGACGCTCCCCTTTCATCACTCTTCCTGGCACCTGACGTTCTGCGTGCTTGCGGTGCTCTCGACATTCACGCAATCCTAAACAAATGGATAAGCCTGTCTCGGGAAAATTAATTCGTACCTTTTTCGCGAGGAAGGTTGCCGATGTACGTATTTCGCGCATATTGGCTTCATGTTGCATGCTCTAGGAAGGCGACGTACTGCTGGTACTGAATGTGCTTGAAACGCATGCAGACAGCACGCGGAGGTTGCCGAAATTCCTTGCGAAAACGGATTCTGCAACCTCCGACTACACTTTTTAAAGCCAGCTATTAAGCTTGCTTCCCTCGATATACTGTCGGGTAGTGCCCTCTCTCACAGAGACTGAATACGAAGAAAGGAAGGAAGAAATGAGTTTGAGTTTTTACAAGGAACTGCTTTTTTTCTAGCAGAATCATTGGCGACGCGCACCGGGCGGGCCCGTGCGATTATGCGTTTTTGCAGTATTTCGTATTGTAATGAGATCGCTCGAAAACGCGGTAGCTAGGATTTGCGAAGTACTGGATCTCGAATTTCGAGAAGTTAAGGAAGTTAATTGTCTAAACGGTACCTGGACGGGGAACATTCCGCTAAAATTTCAGCGTTCTAGAGTTACAATTTTCCTGTCAAAAAATTCCATGGGTTCGTACGTGAGAACCAGACGTATCTGGGAGCTGAATTTGATATCTTTAACTTTTACGGGGACTGGGAACATACCCTTAAAATTTCAGCTTCCAGCTTTCCTATTTACCGAATAAGGCATTTTCCCGCCAAAAAATTTTACGAAGCCGTACGACAGAAACACGAATGCCTGAAGACTGAATCGGATAAATTTTTGTTGTACATGAGTTAGAACATTCCCTGAAAATTTCAGCCTCCCAGCTTTCCTGACTCTCGAGTTAGCCACTTCCCCGCCTAAAAGTTTCACGGGGCCGTACGTGATAACCACGTATGTGTGAGATCCGACTTCGATAGTTTTAAATTGTACATGGGCTGGGAACTTCTCTGAAAATTTCAGCCTCCCAGCTTTCCAGGTTCCCAAGCTAGCTACTTTTTCTCGCCAAAAAATCTTACGGGGTCGTATGTGAGAACTACGCATGCCTGGCGTATGAGTTCAATGAATTTAATTGTATATGCGCTGGAAACATTCCCTGAAAATTTCAGTATCCCAGCTTTCCCGGTTCCCCGCGTCAAGAACCCTCACGGGGCCATACGCGGGCACCACGCACACCTGGGAGCTGAATTTGAACTCTTTTAGTTCCATGTAGATGGGGAACATAACCTCAAAGTTTCAGCTTTCTAGCTTTTCTGGTTTCTGAGTTAGCGAGTTTCCCGCCGAAACTTTGGTCCTGTCGCACGCGGGATCTAGACTCGCGTGAAGGTTGATACTGCGGTCCTAGGATGGCGCTTGGCCGGGGGACCCACAGGCAAAATTTTGGCGCCTGAGCTTGCTTGGGTACCGAGTTGAAATACCCGGACAGACAGACAGACAGACGGACGGACACACACACATACACACGCATACACTGGGGTCGTCGCAGTATGCATTTTCGCACTTGCATATATACAACAACGCATAAAAATGAGAGAAAAGCCCGGTCTCAACTGAGTCAGTTAGCTACCCCAACGAATCCAATACAAACTGGTTTTTCCAGAAAAACAAGGGAATCTTTCACTCTAAAGTAGGGTCGGGCGGCTCAAAAGACTTGCAAATCAGACGGCATAATTTTTGAATTTATTTCGTACGGAAACCTTCGCTATTTACTTTTTACAATATTAAAACTGAACAACAGAGGTTGTGGAGTAAACCCACTCGCAATTATGAAACCTAGAAAACGAATGACAGACATGGCCAATTGCTTGGTTTACTAACGAATGAGTTGTCACGATCCCGCCAAAACTCTTGTTTATCGGATCAGTGAAAGTTCTGGGTAGTGGGCATATATCTACACAATACTCTATAGCTACGTGCATTTTTCTTCCTTAGCCATTATGCGTTTATGCATTTTTATGCAAATGCAGTCATTGGTGGCGTGCGTTTCTGCATCATTTAATGTTG